CTCTACCCTTACTCAAGAGCCAGTTTGCGCCGGGCCCCGGGGACGCCGCGCCGTACTGCCCGCGGGTGAGCCACGCGCACCATCACCACCACTCGCCGCAGCACCACCATCACCACCACCAGCCTCAGCAGCCCGGCTCGGCGGTCGCGGCGGCGGCGGCGGCGGCAGCGGCGGCGGCGGCGGCCTTGGGGCACCCGCAGCACCATGCACCTGTCTGCGGCGCCACCACCTACAACGTGGCGGACCCACGGCGATTCCACTGCCTCACCATGGGTAGGGCGGGCTTTCCGGGCACCTGCACGCCGCACTTTCACCTCCCTCCCCTCCGTCAACGCGCGTGGGTGCAAACTTTCCTTTTCTAGTGGGAGAGTGAAAGCCACGTGGGGGGAGGGGACGGGGGAGGGGAGGAGGGACTTTGAACTGTGGAGGAAGTTGTCTCCCAAAGTTCCCAGGAAGGTACACGTTAGCTTGACAGCCTCTCCACGCAGCGTGGTGTGCTTCGCTCCAGGGGCCAGGGGCCTGAGCCCTGCCTAGGGATCTTGAACTTGAGGGTGGAAACAGCCAGGAGGTTAACAGGCGGTTAAGGGGCGGTTAGCGTGCCTCGCTAAAGTATTCTGTTCCTTTAGGCCTAGTCGTGTTGCCTCTCCCTCCCCACTGGACTTGAGCGGGGCTGATCCAATAGCGCCCTTCAAGTCCACACCCCGCTTTACGTCCTGTGTGTCACAGGCCTTCACCATGCCTTCGGTGTCTCTTTTTCCTTTGCTAACTGAACGAAATGGCGGAGGGTGGAGAGTGGATGTTGGAGATTCATTGGGCTTCTTCGGGAGGCATTTGAGTTGTGGGGGGAAGCGTCCTTGCCAAAACTAACGTGAGGTGGTCGTCTCAAATGAGTCTTACCTCTCTGCTCTCTTTGGGCCCGTTTGCAGGAGGCTCCGATGCCAGCCAGGTGCCAAATGGCAAGAGGATGCGAACGGCGTTCACCAGCACGCAGCTGCTGGAGCTGGAGCGCGAATTCTCTTCCAACATGTACCTGTCTCGACTCCGGAGGATAGAGATCGCCACGTACCTGAACCTGTCGGAGAAGCAGGTGAAAATCTGGTTTCAGAACCGCCGGGTGAAGCACAAGAAGGAGGGGAAGGGCACGCAGAGGAACAGTCACGCGGGCTGCAAGTGCGTCGGCGGCCAGGCGCACTACGCGCGTTCTGAAGACGAGGACTCCCTGTCGCCGGTCTCGGCCACCGATGACAAGATTTCCCCTTTATGAGGAAGGGCCATAACCCCGCTCCACCTGCCCCAGGCAGCGGCCCATCCTTGCTCTGTGCGCCGTGGGGCCTGGGGAGGATCTGCGCTGAACTGTCCCTGACCCGGGCACGCGCGCGGCGCAATCAGGTCTTTCTCCTTTTGACCTGTGTGTTGGGCCTCGACCCGCAGTATCTTTTTTTTTTTTTTTCTTTTAAGTAAATGATCTAGAATTCAACTCAGTCGTGTTACGTAACAGGGGGAGGGGGCGAGCAAACAACCGCAGGAAGAGTTTAACACTGTAAGGTGGAGTGGGGAGATTTGAAACCGCATGCCGTTTCCTTTTCCTAGTGTCTTTCCGAATCTGATAAGAACAAGAGGTTGCTGACTATTTTCTGTTGTGGTTGTTTTGCTTTTCTTTCTTTCTTCTTCTTTTTTTTTACTTGAAATGTTTGCAGTTGCAAATAAGTTAGAAAATGCAGGCTCTGTAGATCTTGCTTTCTGAAAATTTGCCTGGGGAGTGTTTAAAAATCCAAGCGGTGGGAAGTCCCTTTGTATGTGAAGTTTTATATCAAATTTATATTTCTATTTATTCAAATAAATGAAAGATATGAATATTTTTCAAAATCTGGAGTGTTGGCCTCCCCTGCTGCACCCTCCAATGCTGAAACGAAAGTGTGAACAGGACAGAAAAAGCGGTGAAGGCTTCCAGGACAGCGCTGAGGAAAACTTGGTAATGTGAGTCTCTTGGCTAACGCAGAGTGTGGGCTCTGGAAGTTTTCTGAGTAACAGAAACTTTTGCCAACAAAATACCATCAGTCAGAATGCTAGCTGCCTGCCGGGTAGTTCGCCCTCACATGCACTCTGAAAGCACCACCTCAACTGTTGCTAGAACATTTCACTCCCAGGGACCATTAGAGACAACACTTCCATTTATTATGTAAGGAAAGGTTAGCAATCCTCACTGAATAATTTCTGTGGGGTTTCCCCACCATCTAGTTCATCACTCTCATATGGGACATCTGAATTGTGTAAAGGAATTTGCATAACTGGAATAAAAATGTATGGCTATGGCCCAAATTTCCTGATTTTCCAGAGTGGAGTAGAAGGGTCACCTGGAGTTTTGAGGGAGGTTCAAATCCATCTACCAGCTGCTCCTTGAGAGTAGGATAGGCAATCTTCCCCCCTGTGATTTAAAGCTCTGAAAACACGAGGGAGGGTCAGCTATGGGTGGGTTCTGATTCCATAGCACACAGCAACATCTTTACAGGAACTGCCTGCCACATCTTTGTCCCGCAGATCAGCTGGTGGGGTCCAGTGGCCCACACAACCACTCCACCACCAGTGCTCCTCATAGTTGAAATAGTTTTAAGAAATGCAACAGTCCATCCAACAAGTTGGAAGCAAACCCACAGAACCTTGCAAGTGATGTTACAATTTACAAGAAATACCGGTGTTTCTGATCTGTAATGGTGAAGGCTTCCTTCCCTGCTGAGAGTACAAAAATCAGAGACAGAAAAGCATTCTCTCCAAAGATCGATTTATGCCTTCACTTTTCTACAGTAGCTAGGTATACCTTTGGATTTTCTTCTGGCCTCTCAACCGTAAACCTACATTTGTTTACTCCTAGTCCCTCCCTCCCCACTATCATGCAGCCAAGTTCATTATGGTTCCCAGGGGCCTGGGCCAGAGAGGAAGTAGTTAAGGCTCTCTCCTCAGACAGGGCCTATCAGCTGAGGAAGAGAAAGCGAAGAAGCTGAGGAAAGGCAAAGTAGGCACTCCACTAATACCCATCAACGTCCTTTCTGATTATGTCCTGTAAAGATGCCACTGTGTAGGTTCAAGGCTACATGCGCAGTTTCTTTAGTTCTGATTCACTGAGTGGCCTGCCCACACTGAGAAAGGTAGCGGTTACAGAGCTCTAGAAATTGTTATCAGGCACAGTTGGGGTGAAGGTGGAGGAAAGCTCTGGTTTCTCTGTCCAGAGTGACACACACACACACACACACACACACACACACACACACACGGAGGGGGGCGGGGGGGGGAAGAGAGAGTGAGCGAGAGAGGGAGTGCTTTGTGCAGGGTTGAGCCTGGCCCTGCGCAGTATCACAGACATCCAACCACCGTGGCCCCAGAAGGTTTTCCTGCCCTGGCTCTCTCCTCTCAGGGCCCCGGGCTCCTTAAGACTTAGAGAGGCAGCAACAATTCTTCCTTTCCCCCAGATCGTACCTCTCACATTCCTGACACACACGCTGCTCCACGCGTGAGAACCAAGGTGGGAAGGGGAGTTTCGAGACGGGAATCCATTGGCCTTTGGAGAATGATCCTTAGGAGGAAAGAAGAGGACAAAGCGCCCCTGCGGTAGCCCTCTGTACTTCTGCTCAAAGCCAAGGCGGATCCAGACCTAGGCAGACCCCTCTGGCCACTCTCATCCGCACTCAGCTTGCCTGGCTTTTTACCTCTCCCAGTTCGAGTTCAGACCTCTTACACGTTCACACCAAGGCAGGAGCCCAGCCTCTCTGACTCAGTAGGATCTCCTCAATCCAATCCTGGAGAATGGAATCAACTTGCCACCCTTTCCTGCACACTGCGCCCTAGTCCCGGTGAGCCAAAGAAAGACGTGGCGCCAGCCCTTTGGCTTGTTTGGGGACGCTAGAGTGACCTCAGGCTGGTTCTCTCCTGTGTTAGGAGGAGGAAGAGGTGAATAAATAATGAGTCTCCCCAAATGAGGCAGAATAGGGCAAGGTTTCGATCTGCCTTACACGGGGTCGCTATGAATTAGGAATGACACCTCACAACAACCCCCACGAGAAGCAAAAACATTCAGGCTGCCATTAGACATGGACCTTGGGCATTCTCCTTAAGAAAAAAATATTTCTTTAGAGCCTCCAGGGATGTCCTTATGCCTTGTTTTGGGGCATTCTGTGCGGAGTGGACGGGTTTTATCACTTAGAATTAAAACAGGGGGGTGGAGGGAGGTCTCTGTTTTTATGAGTCTGGTGGCTTAGTGGCAAGGAATTGCACTGCCAATGCAAAGGTACACAGTTCGAATGCATCAGTTGCTGGGGGGTGGGGCGGAGGATGGGAAAGATGAGCAGTCTCTTCCCAGAGGAGTTACTGCCTCTGAAAATCTGCTGGAGAGTCAGCTATGAGTCCATTGTGACTTGAAGGCACACACCAACCACCAATCATCTGTTGATGATTTTTAAATTAGGAAGGGTTGTTATTCTGTTTGTTTGATTTTTCCTGTTGATGTTTTTAAAGGCTGCAAAACAGAGTAAGACTTTGGGAAATGAGGCAGTTTTACTTGTTGTTGTTGTTATGTGCTGTTGAGTCGCTTGCAACTCATAGTGACTCTATGTACAATAGCCCCAAACTCCGATCTGTCCTGTGCCAATCGCACCATCTCCAATACACCCATCCCAATTGCCCCAGTCACTGAACTAATCCACCTCATAGAGGGCCTTCCCTGCCTGTGTTGTCCCTCCACCCTCCGAAGCATGATGTCCCTCTCCAAGGACCAGTCCCTTCTTACATGTCCAAAGTATGTTAGACGGAGCCTCAGAATCCTTGCCTCCAAGGAGCCGCCTGGTTTGACCCTTTCCAGGATGAATCTGTTTGTTTTCCTAGGAGTCCATGGTACCCTCAATACTCTTCTCCAGCACCACAGCTCAAAGGCATCAATTCTCCTTCTATTCTCCTTAGTTATTTTCCAGCTCTCTGATGAATAACAAGTGATTGCAAAGACCATAGCCTGTATCAGATGCACCTTAGTCTCCAGAGAGACACCATTACTCTTCAGTACTTTAGAGAGGTCCCTAACAACAGACTTAGGAGAAGGATATCTAAGGCAGTGTTCTGACTCATGGACCGCAAGTTTCTGCTAAGCAATCTTGAGATCAAGATTAAGCATTCTCTCAGTGAATTTTCCTCAGGTATATTGAAAAGAAACTTCTAGGATGCATGTGTTCTTCTTGGACATTCCTGTAACTGGGAAGCACATGATGCCAGCTTCTCAATATGCCCCCTTTTTCTATTCTGTTCATCAAAGCCTGGCTTTGAAGGAGGGGACTGCCTTGGTGAGAGGGGACTCCACACTTGGCAAAGAGCGAGAGAATGAAAATGGGAATTAGTGTGATTGAATCCACCTCTTTGAAAGTTCAGTGGCAGCTTTAAAATGGAAAAGATCTGGAGCGAGGAGTAGGAGGGGAGAGCAAATGACATCTTCACCTTCTGCCCTGGCCCAGGCCAGACATCCAAGGTCCAGAGGAGGGCAGGGACCTTTCCCCTTTGCCTGCCCACTCAGCCAACCACATGTGTCCAAAGCCAAGGTCTGAACTGGTGGCTGCACCCAGCAAGCCTTCTCAATCCCAAACTAAGGGAAAGTGATCCAGGAGTTCATCCTGCCTGTGTGATACAGAGACTGAATGACACTGAACCTGAATGATACAGATGCCAAAGATCCTCTCCAACCAGCTCCTACTCTGGGAGCCTTCTTCTGAAGTGGTTTGCCATAATCATTGTGGCTTAATCTTTGCCCCTACCCGCGACCCCACCCCCCAAGGATATTCAAAGATTTCAGGAGAAACAAACACTTGAATATGAGAAGTGTTTGCTTTCTGCCTTCCTTCCATGTCCTCCTCAATTCTACCTGTTATATCAAGTGTGGGTAGAAATACAGCTTACTTGGCTCAGCCTGACTAGCTAGGCAACTAATCACCAGAAAAATGGTTCTAACTGGAAGTAGTCTCAGCAGCCAAGGAAGTGGTCTCAGCAGTCAAGGAGTGTGTACATATATGTTATATATTGCAGGGGATGGGAGAAAGAGAGGGAAGGGAAGGGAAGGGAAGGGGAAAAGGAGAGGGGAGTAAGAGGGGTGAGGGGAGAGAGAGACCCCAACCAACAGTGGTTATCACATATATGGCAGAAAATGGGTCATTTGCACCAAACTTCACTTGGCTTTTCATCTTTCTTGGAGGTCCCATTCACTTTCCTTGATACTTTGTGAGCTTTCTTTGAGGT